TGTCATTTATTGAACATGTACTATCATTACTATGCGTAGACATATTATGTTTCAGACTTATGCATGTATAATGCCTTTATCTCCGTGGTACCTTTATATAACGGATTTGACTAGGTTGCATGTATTTATTTACGTCTGCATGAGAAAGAGTTTAAGTTAGTAGCATCCCGCAAGTTAGTATGAGTATTTTCGAAAATAAAGTTTAAGAGTTTTTCGAAAATAAAAAGCAAAAATTTTACTCTGATTTTATAAATTCTAGAAATAATTAGGCGGGGTGTTACAGTTGGTATCAGAGACACTTTGTGGTTCTGTATACTTAAAAGGTTTAGAAAAGCATGACCACGTCACGCTCACGCCGTGCCGACTCCGAGGTAAGTCACCTAAGTTTTTAAATTTCTGAAAGTGCATGAGACTATAGTAAGAAACCTTAGGGGCCATCTATCCTCCGACTAGAAAGAGAACTTTACACAGAATTATAGAAAGTTTATCTAAGTCCAACTCTAGACTTTATCAGAATTTGAACTAGAATCAGTAGAGTTAAGCAGAAACTGGAACTCTAGCCAAGCTAGGTGTTTTCGGTAAATTACTTAAATTCGTCAAGTAGTGTGGCTATTTATTAATTGGCTATACTAATCAAGTTGTTATTTGGCTATTCAGAATGCCGCCCCGTAGAGCCCCACCCGCAGAGCGGGATCAGTCAGTAGTCGCAGCCCAGTTCCGGACTTACGCCCCTCCGGTGTTCACTAGAGAGGAGGGCCTGTTGGCCGTAGGAGACTGGATCTGCAAGATGGATCGTATTTTCCGGATGATGGGCATATCCGACCAGCACATGTTCTCTTGTGCCGAGTTTCAGATAGAGGGTGCGGCCGGAGACTGGTGGGACGACTACTGGTGTCTCAGGACAGCTGACGAGCGAGACCAGCTGACTTGGGATCAGCTTAAGGGGATTTTGGAGGCCAAGTACTACCCTCGACACTTTTGCGAGAGGATGGAGCGAGAGTTCTATGACTTGCTTCAGGGAGACCGCTCGGTTGAGAAGTGCGAGCGGGAGTTCGCTCGTAAGAGCGCCTTTGCACGCCATCTTGTGGACACCGACGACAAGAAGGCCTCCCGTTTCCGCAATGGCCTGACCAGAGACCTTCGTGTGCTCGTAGCCAGCCATGGCTATTTTACTTATGCTGAGACCGTTGAGCGGGCTCAGCAGATTGAGGCATCCCAGTTGCTAGACACTCCTGCACAGCCACTAGCTCAAGTGGCACCACTAGCCAGACAGCCAGCTGCCATCCAGCCAGCCCTGCCAGCTCCACCTCAGCAGGCGCAGCACCGACACAAGAGGAAGTGGAGAGGTCGCGACGATAGGAGAAACCGTCGACCAGGAGCCCCAGCTCAGGCAACACCACCGGTCCCGCAGCCCCCAGCTATTTGCGCTACTTGTCAGCGCGTCCACCGGGGAGAGTGCCTAGCTGGACAGGACATTTGCTATCGTTGCCGCAGGCCCGGTCATAGGATCGCAGAATGCCCAGATCGCCCACAGCCCCAGCAGGGCCAGAGACCGCCAGCTCATAGACAGCCAGCACCGAGACAGCCAGCTCAGCACCCACCTCGAGGTGCACCTGCCCGCATTTACGCACTTGACCAGGAGCAGGCCGCCGAGCAGCCAGGTACCATGTCTGGTATGCTCTATTTACTCGATGTACCTGTCTTTGCTTTGTTCGATACCGGGGCGACACATTCGTTCGTCTCGGCCAAGTGTCTAGAGGCCACAGGGGTCCAGGGTGTGAGTGACGTCGACCCCCTCGAGATCAACCTAGCTTCGGGGAGGAAGATAGTCACGAGTTCCCTGGCCAAGAACCTTAGCATGTGTATTGGAGGCAGAACTCTAGAGGTAGACGCATTCGTGATCGAGATGAGAGACTTTGACCTTATTCTCGACATGGATTGGTTGGAGAGATATCACGCAGACATCCGATGCTGTGATAGAGAGGTGACGTTGCACTTAGCCGATGGAGACCACATCACATTCTTCAGGACGAGGACGAGGACTTTACCGCGTATCATTTCCATGGCGAAGTCGACTAAGTGCCTACAGAGGGAGGATTGTCAGGGCTATCTAGTCACTATACTCGGGGAACCTTCGGAGGAGCGCATGCCCGGAGATGTACCCATAGTGAGAGATTTTGTGGACGTCTTTCCAGATTAGCTACCGGGAGGACCACCTAGCCGTCAGGTGGAGTTCACGATCGACCTGTTGCCTGGAGCTGGGCCAGTGTTGAAAGCGCCGTATCGTATGGCGCCGAAAGAGCTTCAGGAGTTGAAGGCTCAGATTCAGGAGTTGTTGGGTCTCGGCTTCATCCGGCCGAGCGTTTCACCTTGGGGAGCACCTGTCCTCTTTGTGAAGAAGAAGGACGGGACACTGCACATGTGCATCGACTACCGGGACTTGAACCGGTTGACGGTGAAGAACAAGTATCCACTCCCCAGGATAGAGGACTTATTCGACCAGCTGAGAGGTGCCCGTGTGTTTTCCCGGATAGATCTTCGTTCGGGTTACCATCAGCTGAGGATTCGGGAGTCTGACGTGGCGAAGACCGCGTTTCGTACTCGATACGGTCACTATGAGTTTGTCGTGATGCCGTTCGGCTTGACCAATGCGCCGGCGGTATTCATGGATCTCATGAAACGTGTCTTCCGCCCATTCTTGGACCAGTTTGTCATCGTCTTCATAGATGACATTTTGGTCTACTCGAGGAGCACAGCCCAGCACGAAGAGCATTTGAGGATCGTGTTGGAGACTCTTAGGCGGGAGAGACTGTACGCCAAGTTCTCGAAGTGCGAGTTTTGGCTCGATCGAGTGGCATTCCTGGGTCACATTGTTACGGCCGAGGGCATTGAGGTCGATCCCGGGAAGATCGAGGCAGTGAGGAACTGGTCAGCACCTAGGTCTGTTACCGAGATACGGAGTTTTCTCGGGTT